CCGTTGCCGGACGCGCAAGCTCAGCGCCCATGGCTCACGGGCCCAGCCGCTCCGCGGCACGTGGGATCCTCCCGGACCGGGGCACGAACCCGCATCCCCTGCATCGGCAGGCGGACCCCCAACCACCGCGCCACCAGGGAGGCCCTACTGACATAGACTTTTCATCTCACTCTGAGGAAGAAAAAGTGTGCACCGGGTGAAGACTCTGTTGCCTAAGATCTGGAACTTAAATTTACAGTAATTTCTAATACTTGAGCACATGCACTTTTCTTCCTGATTGTGCAATAAAAGGCAGGAAGTGAAAAAGGGAACATTCTTAATGCTCGAGTTAACTCAGAGGCTCATTTAGGACATGCACTAGATGTGAATAAGTGTGGGAAAGCAGAAAGATAACCAAATTTGAGCCTAAACTAATCTGCATTTGATGTCTGACCAAATGCCAAAATACTGTGCTCAGAGAATTAAACCAACAACTTACCTTTTCTATTACACAAGCAATACATGTGTATTGTAGTAACATTCAACCCAAGTATAGCAAATGCTAATATTTAGTATATATTTTTAAAAATATCTTCAGACAAACCCTATACCATTTGCTGAGAACAGATCTGATAGTTTATATGGCAACGCTTGTGTCCTCCACCAGGCTATAAACTCCATGAGGAGAACCCCTTTACCATTACTCTTCCCCCCACCCCACCACCTCCGCCCCACTTTAGTCACTTTCTTTGGGAAAGAATAGGGAAAGGTTGTAAATGTTTCCTTCACTAGTGTGCAAGCATTCATTCGACAAACGTTTTATTGAGCAACTAGTGTGGAGTTGAGCAAGGCTTGGGGGATTAAATAAAAGAAAAAGACAGGGCTTTTGGTCTCAAGAAATTCACAGTTCCAATAAGGAGACAATACAAAAACAATTATTTTTCTAAGTTCTTGTTCAATTTTAGAGTCATTCGTGGAAATTCTAAGAAAGCACATAAGAGAGGGCAAGGAGGCTCGGGAAGGTCTTTTGGGAAATTTCCCGAGGAGGTGACACTGGCCAGACGTGGGGTCGGGGAATGGGTGACGAAGAGTGAGGCATGCGAATTTCATGGCCCTTCCTGCGTCAGCAGGGATTCCTGTTCCCTCTCAATTGCACCACAAAACTTAAGTCTAATGTTCAACTACGGAGCTTGGAAACTGAGAACCTACGGCAAAACGACCTGTCTGCCGAGGCTGCACTCTCTGCAGCGGGACAGCCCCGCTGAGTCCTAGGAGGGGCGGGGCAGGGTTGGGGGTGGTGGTGGCTGTGAGTGCGTTTGGGCCGACCGGACCCGCCCCTGGGGGCTGGAGCAGGAGCCGGGCGTGGATTGGCTGTGTGTGTAAGTCGGCCTCTCTTCATAGGCCGCGCAGGGCTGCTCGCGGGACTTGGATTGGCTCCCAGGGCGCTGAGCGGTCATTGGCTGCGGTGGGTCGTCAAGGCGACTGAGAGGAAAAAGAGAAGGGGTTTTGGGCCTGGCCGGCGAATCGAGGCTGCGGGCGGCTTGGCGGTTCCGCGGGGCGGTGTCCGGAGAGCTGCGGGGCCCGGGCCCCCGGGGTTCACGCCACAACTCCAGGAGGTGTCTGAGCCAGCGCGCCGGCGAGGAGTAGTGGCTAGTGGGACCCCGCGGGCCGGGACCATGGGCTGCTTCTTCTCCAAGAGGCGGAAGGCTGAGAAGGAGTCGCAGCCGGAGGGCGAGGAGGAGCGGCCGAAGCAGTACAGCTGGGACCAGCGCGAGAAGGTAACCAACGTCACGTAGCGGCTGGTCTCAGCCTTCCCGAGCCCACTCGGCAAGGGTCCCCAGCGGCCGTGCAGCGCTGGGGGGGCGGACCCAGCAGCTGCCGCTCTTGCGCGCTCGCTCTCTCCCGCGAGTAGTTGAAGTCGGAGTGAATGACTTTTGGGGGAGCAGTGAAATTCAGCGTCAGAGAGGGCTCCACGGAGGGCGGTGCAGCGCTGGAAGGGGCCCTAGAGCTCATTGTCCAGGCAGATGGACACTTCGGGCTTTCCCTTCTCTGTGCACCCTGCCCTCCGGTCCAAGGATGGACTCCAGGGAAGGAAGGAGAACCCGGAATGCCCCAAATCTCACATCTCGTTTCACTCGCAGCTCCGAGCGGGGTTTTATCCAGTCCTCGAGTTACACATGGAACTGATCTCATCTCTTTCGCGGCTTGTGTTCTTTCTGTGGTTGTTTTCTCTTTTGTCTGCCCTAGCCAGTAAATCTCTTTGGTGCCTCCTGATATATTCCACTGCTGAATTTTCTCAATGACGAAGTGGACCGTTTGACCTACAGCTTTGTATGACCTCCTCTTCCACTTACCCGAAAGGAATAATGAAAATGGAATCAGCCTTGGAATGTGTGTTAAGACCGTAAGATGAAAATAACCAGCATAAGCCAGACAATATTTTACTGTTGCTTTCATGAATGCAAATGCCCTTATTTTTACTTTTCTATATAGCCAGAAACGAAAAAGCTTTGAACGCGTCCACTAGTCTTACACAAAGTGCACTTAGTCATAAATTTCATAATGCTTCCTCTTTCTACATAGTTCTCCATTTGTGTTTAGTAAAATACTTTGATCCATCAATTATTTTTCTCATCCAAACGCAAATAAAGACTTTTAAATGAGTGTTATGAACAGTTAACTCCTTGCTTAATAAACATATCTGTATCCATGACTACTTTATAGTAAATGTCTTACTAATGTTTTGATTTCATAGACCATCCCACATGATTTCCAGTCCCCAGCAGAATGTATTCACATAAACTCGGTTCTCCAAGTGTCAGATTTTAAAATTTGGACGCTTTTTACAGACTTCTCAGCCCCATCTTTCTGCCCCTGTTTCACAGGGTTGCATGGTCTGTTTATTGATTCTCTTTTATCCATACTTGATAGAAGCATTTTATAATGTAAGAGTGGAAAATACTATATTTTCTGTCTGAAAACAACCCCTTTAAAAATTCTCCTGGACTATTAGAGAAAGAATTACCAGCTTACATTTTGAGACAGTGGAGATACCACATTTCCCAACATTGCTTTTTCTTTTGGGAATTTTTTCTTTTTCTTCTGGAATTACTAAGAATTCACTCTAGGGTACCTCTAATTTATGATAGCCTGCTAAATTTTATGTGATTTTAAAGATTTTTTTCTAGCTCCTTACCTCTCATGAGGTCAGTATGGGTAGGGCACAAATGTTCTGTATTAGTCCAGTGATACTTTTACTGAGTTTAGCATGGTCTTGCTTGCTCCTAGAAGATTTTAATTGTACCTTAAAAAGAATGGGATGCAAATGCAGCCCAGAGAACATAAATGAGATACGTTGGATGTATAGTAACAGAATGGTTTGTATTGAAAGTTTAGGTCTCTAATGTGATCATGGACTATAACATAAACAATTTTAAAGTTATATGAGACAATTACCATTCAACTTGTAAGACTTAGCTGTAAAAAAGAAAGTACAAAAAAAAAAAAAAAGAAAAGTGCATTGCCTGAAAAGTTTCCTTGCAACTTGGAAAAGTGGTGTTTAGATTTTTCCTTAGGTTGTGTAATCAGAGTATATTTATTGAGAGGCACCCTCTGGGTTTTGGGTTTTGACTTGTGTAATTGGGTCAGTCTTAGGGGACTGAAGCTAGAAGAAATTGTCTCAATTAGAAAGAATGTTTGGGGACTCAGTGTTGTCATGACAACTGGTATACTGTAATCAACAGAGTAAGAAGCTCATTTTCTATTGCTGACTTGGAAAAAAAGCTTATTGTACAATTACTACATTGACATGATGAGAAATATTTTTGGATTGTAAGATCTGTGTTTAAATCATTTGGAAGGAAATGCTTTTATCCTTGTTATCTGTATGCTGCCTCCTATAACTAAGCAAATTATTCAATATATATGTTCTCAAACACCAAGGAAAACTCAAAATTATAAGAATTATTTTCCCTGCCCTTGAAGAGCTGACTGGCTTTTTTGAGTTAAAACAGGAAATATTTAAGTATCAAGGGAAGATGAGTAGTACAGAAAAGTAGCTTTTATTTTCTAGTTATTCATACCAATACTCTTTCTAGACAATAGAAATGATGGCATAGGTATGAAAATTGTGATTTTGAGTATGGACAACACATCTGTGTCCATTCAGGTTCCTCAGTTATAAAATCAAACCTGGTAAAAATTTCTCTACTGTTTAATAAGGTAAAGGCCTGTCCTGAGAAAGAGGGTTAGACAGTACTGGTCACCTCTGAGGATAGAACTTGGGCTAGAGATTGGGCAGGACAGAACCAGTCTTAGTATAAGGCAGATCATAATTCCCAGAGTTCTTCAGTGGAAAGGGTGGCTTTGTGAAGAACTGATCTCCATTTTGGTCAAAACATTCAGGCAGAGGTTGGATGGAGACCTACTAGAAAGAAGTGTCTGCATTAAGTAGGGGGCTAGATGCTGTTTTTAGCCTTTTAAGTATGTGAGGTATTCTAGTTATCCATTGTTGCATACCAAACCACCCCAAAACTTAATGGCATAGAATAATGGCAAGTACTTATTTTGCTCACAACTCTGCAATTTGTGTAGGGCTTAGCTGGGTTGGCTCTTTGCTTTATCTGGCATCAGCTGCAGCAGCTTGACTGGGGGTTGGAGGATCTGCTTTCAATATGACTTAATCACAGAGCTGGCTGGCAAGTTGATGCTGGCTTTTGGCTGGAAGCTCAGCTGGGGCTAAGGGCCAGAGGCCTCTTCCTGTAGCCTGGGCTTCCCCACAGCGTGATGGCTGGGTTCCCAGGGCTAGTGTCCTAAGAGAGACTGGCAGAAGCTGCATGGCTTTTTCTAACTAACCTCTTAAGTGATGTAGCATTACTTCTGCTATATTTTGTTGGTTGAGGCAATCACAGATGTCCACCTGCGTCCAAGGGGAGGGGACCTCTTGATGAGAGAAGTGTCAAACTTGTCGACATGTTTTAAATCCTTTACATAAAGTTGTTGCTGCTTAAAGGAAGTAACTAGTTCTTTGTTTATTCATTTTAAAATAGCTTTATTGAGATAAATTCATATGCCATACAGTTTACTAATTTAAAATGTACAATTCAATATTTTCAGCAAGTCCACAGGGTTATGTTACTATCACTATGATCTAATTTTAGAACATTTTTATACCTCACAAAAGAAACCCAGATCCATAAGTAGTTACTCCTCACTCCTCCTAGCCCCTAGAAACTACAGTTTTACTTTCTATCTCTATAGATTTGCTTATTTAGGACATTTATCAGTAGAATCATACAATATGTGGTCTTTTGTTACTTTCACTTACCGTGTTTTTGAGATTCATCCATATTATAGCATATATCAGTAGTTTATTCCTTTTTATTGCTGAATGACATTAACAGAGTAGGTATTTTATTTCATTTTATTTATAAATTTTATTTTACTGTCCGTTTTGTTTATCCATTCATTAGTTGATGGACATTTGGCTTGTTTCCACTTTTTGGCCATTACAAATAATGCTGCTATGAATATTTGTGTACAAACTTTTGTGTAGACATATGTTTTAATTTCTCTTCAATATATACTTAGGAGTGGAATTCCTGGGTCATATAGTAACTCTGTGGTTAACTTTGTGAGAATCTGCCTAACTGTTTTTCAAAGTGTCTGCACCATTTACATTTTCACCAGCAGTGTATGGGGGTTCCAATTTCTTCACTCATATAAAGTGGGAAAAGGGGAAAAGCGCATGGAGTAGAAAGTGTATGGGACTGGGGTTTTAATTTGCATTCTGCCCTGTACTGTATCTCACTGGTCAAGTCATTTAGCTTTTCCAGCCCTCAATTTCCTAAGATCCCTTCCAGTTCTTTAATTCTTTGAGCATCTTAAGAGAAGAGGTAAGCATCAATAGAAGCATTCAGGCAAATCTGAATGAACAGAGAAAATGTGATAGGATGTAAAATTAGATTAAAAATCAATTAGATGATATGAAAAATCTTTTCTAATCCTAAAATTTCATAATTCTATTTTGTGGTTATATATTTAGCAACATGGTGTGTTATATAAATATAATACTTCACCTTCTTTTGTCATCAATGTATATAAGATCAAGGTACTGGTATTTGTTATTTTCACTCATGAAATTACCTTTCAGCTACATAGCTATGTTGCCTTGAAACTGACTTAACAATGTTTAAGTTTTAAATAATTTGTTTATTTTAATTGAAGTGTAATTTACATAATGTAAAATTTACCCTTTTAAAGTGTACAGTTCTATGAGTTTTGACAGACAAATACAGTCATGTAACTATCACCATAATCAAGATATAGAACAATACCATCATCCTCCCCAAATTTCCTCATGCTCCTTTGTAGTCAACTCTGCCTCCAGCCTCTGATCTGTTTTTTATCCCTATAGGTTTATCTTTTTGAGAATGTCCTATAAATTGAATCATGTAGTAGGTAACCTTTTGAGTCTGGCTTCTTTCACTTAGCATGACACATTTAAGATTCATCCATGTTGTTGCATGTATCAGGAGTTCCTTTTTATTGCTGAGTAGTAGTCCATTTTATGGATTTACCACATTTGTTTATCCATTCACCAGTTGAATGACATTTAGGTTGTTTACAAATTCTGGTAATTATGAATAAAACTACCATAAACATTTGCATACAGGTTTTTGAATAAACATAAGCTTTCATTTCACTTGAGTGAATACCTAGGAGTAGGATTTCTGAGTCATATGGAAATTGTATATTAAACTTTATAAGAAAGTGCCAA